CAGTAATTTAATCGTTGAATTCATGAGTCAATTGAAGTTAGACCATCATTATTGTAGTTTGAATATTCACCGTGGGAGCGAACTAAACAGATCTATCATCTTTTTTTTGAGAAAAGTTTTGTTCTTGAACAGGGACAGTTTTTTTCTTATTAACAGGTGATTTATTGTATGATTCTTAGCTCTCAATATAATTAATTTCTTAGTTTGATCGTATCCAGTTTTCTGGGTACCGATTGGATACATCGACCTGGTTAACAACTATTCAGTTATTGTATACTTGAACATTTTATACATATCTTCTTAATTTTTTTATTAGTACAACTTAATTGCTGAGCTACTATGTTCCTGATCATTCGACTCGGTGGATGGGTAACTGTCATATCAATCGTCCATACAGAAGCTTAATCGAGAGTTCCAGGAGTTCTAGTCGTTAACAATGACAATTAATTACTTCATTACACTTAATCCATCCAATAAAATGGTTTATTGCTCAATAATTATTCTACATATATTTTTTCTAGAGATTTAGCTTTATTTTTATGCGTAACCGTAAAGTAATAAAACGAAACAATCTTTTTTATGAAAACCTTCAATTAAATTTATGAATATACTATTCCCTGCCAAGTTGCTGTTATTTTTTTCAATCAAAAGGATTATTTTTTATTATTGAGATCATGAATCGATCGGTGTTAGACCACCATTGAAAACTTGGAAGCACTGGACGGCTGTTTCGTTTTATTACGGGATCTTCAGCAGTCCTTCCAGGTTTTCGATAGTGGTCTAACATCGATTGATTCATGATCTCAATCAAAAACGCAACAATCTCCACAACCTCATACTGATAAAATGATTATATATTTTGAAAACTTTGTTCAGATATATAAAAGTGACGACTACATAAAGTACAAATATCAACTATTTAATCAATTTTGATGTGTCATGAATTGGATCAGTGAAACACTTAAGTACAAGATTGCTATTTGAAAAGTTCATCTAATAAGCTTATAATTATTCGAGATTCATTTGTGTTAATAACAACAATGAAGTGCTATATAATAGAAATAAATTAAAATTAACTTTCATACTAACAATAATAAAAGCTAGAGAATAATGGAGAATCTATTCTAAGTAGAAATTCACTTAGTATTGTTTGTTTGAATCTTCCCATCGATCTGTTAGGACTGCAACTGGTCAGTCTCTAATTCGCATATGTGCATACTGTGCGTATTGCCTCGATATAGCCTTGATTCACAAGCATGATAAGCAAAGATGGATAGTGGCTAGTAGTGGAATCCAGGGCGCGCGTTTCGCCCTATTTGGGACTCGTCAGCTGGATGTACCTGCATCTCAGTGTTGATATTCACTCTGGGACTCGAACCCAGTAACTTTGGCTTCAAACGCCATTGCGTTATCCACTCTGAGATGCAGGTACATCCAGCTGACGAGTCCCAAATAGGACGAAACACGCGTCCTGGATTCCACTGCTAGCCACTATCCATCTTTGCTTATTCTAAGTAAAGATAGCAAATGTAAATTAATGATGTGCAATATCAGAAGGGGTTTTTTGTGGAGATTTAGTATTTTCATAGTTGAAAGCGTGAGTCAATTGAAGCCAGACTACCAGGGAAAACCCGGAAGCACTGGACGACCGTTTCGTTTTATTGTGAGACTCCTCAGCAGTACGCATCCACGATCTCACCTCGTGAGATTCGAACGCAGGACCTACCAGTCTCGCGTCGGAGCACTTAACCGATAAACCACTAAGCCAGCATCCGATGGTGTTTATGTCTAACTCCAACCAATACAAGATCGCTGATAATAACAGGGAATATGAATTTAACTAAGACGAAATTTTTAAACAAAGTAATTCAGCTTATGTTCTTCTTAGTATAAGTGGATTATCAAGTTTGGTTTTTTCCCTGTTGGATTTAACTGAAATGATTTGAGTTTGAAAAAGACATGAAAATTTTGAAAGTATTATAATTGTTTCAACCTAGATATGGAAATCAAAGGTTTAATAGTTAGGATTACAACAACATATTCAATGAATGTGTTGATGGAGTATGCGATTAACTTGGAGAAGTATTTGAAGTTTTTCAGTAGCAACTCTAACGGTTGCGAATATAGGAACATTGACATCTAATTACAATGCACATATCTAATAAAATAATGACAATCATGATTAGAACTTAGCTCAGTTACTACTCCATACCTAATGTATCATAACGGTATACAACATGTAAGAATATTTGAGAGATTTTATTCTCCCTGTTGTTTTAATCATCATAGTTCCCAGTGTAACATAGCATTTCTATTGCTATCAATAACCCTGCTATTAATATTACTTACCAAATAATTTAAGTTAAAATAGAAAAAGATTTTTGTAAATGATGATAGTACTTGTCAGACATATTAAGTGTTGCAAAAACGTATCTCATATCTCTTTATGCAATTTCAGAACGCCATATACAGTAGTTTTGTAACTAGATAGTGTTACTTTGAATATATTACTGGCTAGACATATTTCCACCACCCACAACTATCTCCTTTGTTTATTTACAGTAATTGATAGGAATACATGATAATCGTACAATATCGTAAATAAATAAACTTAGAAACGTAAACCTTCGAAATTCAACTCAGTAGAGTGAAATTAAATACCTAACACAAGACGTAAACTTCCTGAGCATGATTCCTGTTGTGCTCGTGGGTACTCATCGGTGCTAAGTCATATAATGGAACAAAAATCATTAAAGATCGAAAAGCACTGGATAATTGTTTCATCCTAGTATAATAGCTTCCTTATAATATAAAAAGACATGCGATAGGAACTTTCGCTCTCAGTATCATTAGATTTCAACTTATTAATTGCAGTAATAGTAATGGTGGCATAGACAGATGAATGACCTGATGTGCATTACTCATAGTACTTATTGTTAAAGAATTTCAAGCAAGGATTCACATTTGTCAAAACGCTCAATCGATTACATCTAAATGTCAGTTGAATACTTAACTCAATTAAGAATCTGTACATTTTATTACTATTCGACCGTTTATTTGTCAAGGAATTAATCCGTGAACAGTATACTTTCAATATGAGTAAATTCGAATAACTTTCATTCTAATGAATAGTACTATTTAGCAACAAATCAACTAGAAATTATGCATTAAGATAGATTGTTAAATATTATTTGAACTTATTTACCTTATAAAATGCTAAATGACAAAAAGTGCATTAAAAGTATAAATTTTTCTTCAAATAAACCATTTATTCAAGTGACAAATTGATTTCAATGAAGAAAAACAACAATATTGAATTATTACTATGATCAAATATACTATGATCATAAGATGTTAAAGAAGATTTTTAGATCAGATGGATAATGAGTTTGTACACAAACTCCAAATAGAAATTTGTGATGATGATGTCGTTCAGATCAATGATGAAAGATCCACGACTAAATCATCAAGTTAAGAGAAGAAAACTCTACCAAAATACATATGAGAATACTTTAACCAACATTAACTACGAGTAGTTCAGTTATATAATATACCCTTATGGGTGAGGGTAATTTTGCACTAGTTTTCACGAGAACCAGACACCATCTAGACTTTCATGCGGCAACCCAAACAGTACAGCTCGATCCCATTTAACAGGAGAGCCAAACACTGCTCAGACTTAACCCGAGCACTACATCTCAATCCCATAGGAGAACTAGACACTATATAGACTTCAACGCTACAATCCGAACAGTACAGCTCAATCCTGTGGCGCAACCACACAGATACCAAGCACTCTGGTGGACCAAACTACAAGTAGATAATTAACAATTAATTCAAATTTTTATTCGTTTCAAATATTCCTTGTTCATTAAAAAAATGTAAAAACTTAATGAAGAAATCAAACAGAACAATATTAGCTAATCAACAAACATAAAGTACTAATTCTAATATGCTACTATTCAAAATAAAATCTAAGTCGTCGTTACCAATCCTCATGGTTCAAATCTCGCGAGGCGGGATCTTGGATGCGCACTGCTGAGGAGTCACATAATAGGATGAAACGGCCGTCTAGTGCTTCCAGGTTTTCCCTAGTGGTCTAGCTTCAATCGACTCATGATTTCAACTAGGAAAAATTTTGTATTATCTTTTATAGTAAGTAAAATTCAAAACATTGTCTTTTGTGTATAAGAACTTTCGTCTAAATTAGAGTGAATAGTTTCATCGATACTAAAACAATCTAACATATAATTATTATTTAACGGATCCATTTATGTGATAAATGCGTAATGTGTAACATGAAAATACCAATGTTAAAAACATTAGATTGAAACCGATAGTTAGTATTCTACCAGATAGGATACTACAGCTTTTAACTATATTCAAGTTTCAATGTATTCAACTACCAATCATATGTACTTTGATAGACAATATACTGTTTAAAACAATTCATTATAATATCAGAAGGAGTTTTGTGGATATTATAGTAATTTTAATAGTTGAAATCATGAATCAATTGAAGCTAGACCATCATGGAAAACCTGGAAGCACTGGACAGCCATTTCGTCCTATTGTGGGACTCCTCAGCAGTATGTATCCACGATCCTGCCTCGCGAGATTCGGACCCAGTCTCGCACGCGAGTGCTTAACCTCCATACCACTGAGCCGGCATCCGACGGCCGTCCAGTGCTTTCAGTTTTTCCATGATGGTTTAGCTTCAACTGATTCATAATATCAACTATTAAAATTCATTATAATTTATTTGTGTTCAAATTTTTGAATGTGTTTCCACATACCTAAGGCCCAGAACAGAGTGGGTTGGAGAATGATGGTCGGACGCCTATGCTCCATTGGGAGTAACAGGCGTAAGTAAGTAAATAAGTTCCACATATCTATCATTAATAATGTATATTTGTCATAGTTTGACAGAAGGCAAATTTATTAGTAACATACATTTAACATTCAGAAATCACAATTTGGTTTTTCTTGGAAAACATATTTCATGAATAAATTACAGATTTAACAGTGTCGAAATTCGATGAATTTATAGTTTTATTTACATTTCTTGTTAATATTGAATCAAATCGAGCAGATTTAGGTCCAGATGATGGAATAAACACTTTAGCATCTCGATGAGAATGCATTCGTTTATAAGGATCAATATATGGTTCAGATATATAATTAGGAAATGGATTAAATGTACCAGCTTTGTAACCACCTGGTTCTTTACCTGGATTAGATGGTCTAAATGGAATTGTGATTCTTTTCGTTTGTATTGTTAAGGGTTTAAGAGGTCTTTTGACAATACCTTGTTGTTGTTTATATGGATCTGGACCAAAGTAGTCAATATTTCCACATTGAATAAAGCTTTTACGACCAATTATTGAATTTTTATAATCTTTGATATTGTTAGTTTTGTCTATATTATCTAAATAAGGTTCTGAAACATAAGCAGGTAATTTTCCAATTGTTACATTAGGATAACTAGATCCAGCACCTTTTTTAGATGGTGAAGTATAAAAATTTTTTCCATCAAATGATTTAATTGATTTAATAAATTCATTACGAAAATATGGAATTGGTTGTGAAAATGTACCCCAATAACTTCCAGATCCAATAAGTTGTTTAGAACCAGAAGGTGGAAGAAATGTTTTTGCACCTTCTTTAATTTTTTCTTTCAAACGTTCTTCATGTTTAATTTTTGTAATATCTGTATAAGATTCACCAATAAATAATCGATTGTATGAATTAAAATATCCATCATTTAAACCACATTTTGATTTTGTACTAATCCCATATAACTGTTTACCTTTACAGGAATTTTCATTGAAAACAAATTTTCCTAGATCAATATACGGATCACCAATTGTAATATAAGACATTTCTCTAAAATAGCCTAAACGATCAAGATCCGGTTTTGTGGATCCAGTCATATTGTTTCTTCTTTTCACTGACTACAATAATGATTCTTTAATTTATTAATATAGAATAAATAATAAATGTGTACTAGTAATTGTATGCATTTGTTTATAGAAAGGCCATAAACTGAGTGAGTAAAATTAACCAGTTGAAATCAACTAATTGATTCATATCTTATTGGTTAGTTTCACTATATAAGAAAAGGTCATTTCTATATAAAGAGGATCTTGATAATCTACCATCTTTTTGATCTCAGTAAAACCAAACATGTTCCATAAAATACTAACGAACAATCAATGGACCATAATGATACAATGTATTGTGGAATGATGTTTAAAGGAAACAATTTAACCATTTTAGAAAGTTATTTGTTGAAATTAAATTTTTATCATCAATGATCTGTTGGTATAGTAACCGATAAATTAAAATAAATTTCATTAATAAGGCTTGTTTTCTCTTATTTTTTTACCGACCGTTGATGCTACCATGACATGGTAGTTGGGCTTGCCTATCGTAATGAACCAATCGAGCTATACTGGCTGGAACAATCGTTCCTCAAGGTTCTACCATGCCAGACAGGTTGGTTGAAGAATGGTAAGACTAAAAGCAGCAATCACAAGATCCGAAAGCGAAATCGTACTGCTGACTGTATAGAGATGTGACAGAAGTAAGGTGTTTCCTTCAGATAACCAGCGTAACAGCAATGCTGTCTTCCCACAACGAGGGGTGAGGTTAGAAAAGGTCGACCCTAAAAATACCACACATCACCTTACCTCACGGGTTTCCGTCTCCTGTTGTAAGGCCCTTTGAAGAACGGAGCTAACACGTTAAAAATCCAGCAAAAAGACCGTGTGTGACCGGCAGTTGTCCCTTGAGCACTGCGATCACGCTCCCAGGTCGTTAAGGCCAGCACTAATCCAACTTCCTTTTCAGGTCCCTCAAGAAATACCCTTCCACGGTGTGGGCAGCCGGGAAGTGATATTAGCCCTCATAATAGCACACGAGACCAAGTTGATCACATTCAAATCCTTCCTATACCTCCTAATAACTCTCTTATCTCCACGATTTTCTCTTTTTTTTATAAAGTCGATTATTTCGTAAGTAAACGTAGTATTCAGTCAATTTTAATTGTGTTTCTTTAGTGAAAGAAATAAAATATTACATAATTTGAAGTTCATTTGCTAATGAATATGTTTCTAAGGTAACAAAACATTGTTACTTCACTCATGTCGATCTATTGTCGTATTTAAAATTCAATTAGATAAAACAAAAGATATTGACACTAATTCAAGACCATGACCATTGGTTCTGCAAACATTGTAAATTTTTCCCGTAAAAGTAATTGATGGAAGCCCAATCGATACTGTAAAAGTTATGTCCAATTAAAATAAAAATATGTCTATGAACTTTAGAGGCTCAATTAACTTAAAGGAACGTTTACATTTGTTGAATTATGGTTGACACCGCTCAAAATGATCACCATAATTTAACTACTGATCTACACTCCTAACTCGTGGCTGATATGATTAAACAATGTAAACAGATAAAATATATTGTAAGCTAAGATGGATGGTGGCTAGCAGTAGAATCCAGGACGCGCATTTCATCCTATTTGGGACTCGTCAGCTGGATGTACCTGCATCTCAGAGTTGATATTCACTCTGGGACTCGAACCCAGTAACTTCCGCTTCAAACGCCATCGCGTTTTCCACTCACCTACTGAGTCCTGATAACCACTTGCTTGTGCAATGGGGCCACTATCCATCTTGACTTACAACGCTTGTGAATTAAGGCTATATTAAGGCAATAGGCACAGTATGCACATATGCCAATTAGAGACTGACCAGTTGCAGTCCTAAACATCAATGGGAAGAATCAAACAAACATCAACTGAATTTAGTCAAAATATATGTTGCCGTTTATCTTGTTAAAATGTTTTACTCAGAAATTATCTTTTAACAGGGTTGAACTTTTAGTCATTCAATTAACTAATGACAGCTTGCTCCTAATTTGCATAACCACAATTGTATGGACTAATTATATAACGTACAAGTGTGATTATATTTTCACAATGTTTTATATGATTAGCGCAGAACAGAATCTTCATGCAGTTCAGTTGATCTTCTGCTCCAACTTATGTATAGCTAATTCATACTAAACAGTATACCACAAAACTAGTTGGAACAACACATTAGGAGGAAAGGATATTTATTTTCAGTTTTTTTTAACATTTTATTTCTGTAAGTTAGTGTATCCTTGATGTAGTTTGTTTCACAAAAACTTTGAATGATTTTAATAGTATATTCGCACTAGCTGGCAAATTAGTAAAGAAAATCAGTGAGTATTAAATATTATCTTTTTTGAATAGTTGAAGTCATGAATCAATTGAAGCTAGACCATCATGGAAAATCTGGAAGCACTGGACGGCCGTTTCGTTCTATTTTGGGACCCCTTAGCAGTGTGCATCAACGATCCCGCCTCACGAGATTCGAACCCAGGATCTATCAGTTTCGCGTGCGTGCGCTTAACCTCTAGACCACTGAGTCGGCATCCAGCGGTCCCATAATAGGACGAAACGGCCTCCAGTGCTTCCAGGTTTTCCATGGTGGTCTGGCTTCAATTGATTCATGATCTCAACTATTTTAAAAAATTACTATAATATCCACAAAACCCCTTCTGATATTAAACATTAGTTGTTTCTAGAACCAAGACTCCATATAACAAATGCTAAAATTTAATTAGCATAGGTAACCATGAGATTTGTTTATTTTCACGATATTGATTGATTTTTTGTGACAAGTTATTGATTAATCTAATTTGAGTTGACTAGTTTATGGTTCACTCAGAATCTAACTACTGATCACTGTAAAATAAATATACATAGAAATAATTTTGTTGAGGTATTGTAGAAGTTTTATTAGGGTTCTAAATAAGTCTAACTCTCACTCTCATTTCGGTCGAATCGTATACAGCCATGTATAGCTTTCTCGAAACAGAAGGACCAGGTTGCAGATAGACAAGGTAAAATTGGTCGCATATATAATAATTGTTAAGTGGCATTATCAGTTGAAAAGGAGACATTTTTCCTTTGCCAACAGATAACATAGTCAATATTATCCAATCCAAAACATCTTAACCTGTTAAGTAGTAATGTAAGACATTTAATATTCTTACTGTTGTTCATCAAAGCTGAATGAATGCCACTTACAAGTATACATTACTTAACTCTACATCGTTTTGTGGATAAATCTTCTTTAAATAAATTTTCATTAAAATTACTAATAAACAATTCCACGAATAGTTGAAAGCGTGAGTCAATTGAAGTTAGATCACCAGGGAAAACGTGGAAGCACTGGACGGCCGTTTCGTCCTATTTTGGGACTCCTTGAATCTCATTTATGTTTACAGCCACAGCATGAAAAAGGACTTAGCTAGATATACTACTATTTTGTCCTAGAAAAAACTCACATCACATACTTTCTAACAGAATGAGTAATTCCTTCAAACCTGAACATTTATTATAATAAAATAGCTATCTGCACTGGGATGTGAAGTCTTTCATTCAGTATTCTACCATGCATTCTAAGCTGCCAATACACGGCCTTTATCTATCTAGTTAGAAATGATTGTTAAATAAATGTACTGTTTTATTTAGACATCCATTATGATCCTCTCTCTATCATTAGTCGGTTAAATGCTTAGGACTAGTCACGAGTACAAAATACTCGAACCCTGATATTAGTGTAGTTCGAAACTCCTGAATTCAGTGTTCTATATCAGTACTTCAGGTTGTTCATCGGTGGGGGAAAAGTGAGGCTATCGAAAAAGTCCTGTTCTTTCTGCCACATACTTTAAACAATCCAACTAACTAATTTGTTTAGACAGTGAACTAATAGATATCAACCGGTCGTAATGACGAAGGATAACAACTAATCAAGTTTATCAACAGTACAAGAGCCAGTTTTATGTATTCAACCAAGGAAATAACTGAGGAAAGAACTGAAATGAAGCGCAATCGGTAGGAAAATGCATGAACAATGGAAAAAAACAGTGAAGATTGAGACAATTGATTGTTAATTTGCAAATAAACTGTTCATTGTATGGTTATCAGAATTTACTGAGATAATCTGTAATTTTTGCTTAAACACATTCGATTGTCCCCAGTCGTGTTCTGTTCACTACAATATGTATCCCATTTCTCACTATTGTTGTAATCGTTATTTGCTTTCAAACTTAAAAGGTGATTACGCTAATTTTAAAAGTGAATAGATTGTTTTCTGTTAAAGAAAAAGGGAATTTTAATATTCTTATAATAAAAAGGATATTTGAAATCCTGACACATAATAACTAGTAAGATTCTAGCACACTTAAAAACCAACGTCATTCTAGACGTTAATTAGTTGAATGAAAAACACTCCTACAATTCGCTGAAAAATTCCCATTATATTAAAACAATTATATGAACGAAGAATATTCTTTTCAATTATTTCTCATCAGGTTCTACAATTATAAATTAATAATCCATAAAAGAAGATTGGCCAAGTTGAAGGCAGAGTACATCAATTTAAGACATATTACAGTTTCTTAAATTGATGTACTCTGCCTTCAACTTGGCCAAACTCCTACAATTCCTGGAAATTTTATCGACGTATAAAATAAGATACCAGAAATAATAATCTACGAAAAGCTAAAACTAGTCTCAACAAGCTTTTATGCCATTGTTCTAAATGATACGAACTTTTTTGTCCACTTGTATCACAAAAAGAAGCTGAATGATTTTCAAAGACTTATATTTTCTAGGTTTGAGAATTCGATATAGAACCTATTCCCGGAAATGTTAGTGTAGTGGAACTATGTCCTATATTTTAATTCGAGGATATTTTGTCTAGCTCTACATTTGGTGGCAGATATAAAAATTTAGATCATCTTATATTTCGAACATCTTGAAAATGCTTGCCGAGAAATCATTACACATGGTCTTTTACCTATCGAAATTTTAATTGACTCGGCAAACATGTGCATACGTGGACAGTCAACTCCATTTCATCCAAAAAGTTCAATTTCCGTGATATCTAAAATGGTTTTGTGATGATTGACTGTAAACATCAAGGATCTAAAAACACTTAATAGGATAGTCTACGCAAGTGCCTGTTGCATTCATCCAAAGGTTGATTATGTTCAGACACGAAAACAGGAAGGAGCAACGTGGGACTTATTACAAATTATCAGTTTTAATTGTCACATATCATATTGCAACAAGGGGGAAGAAACAAATAAAAAACAATAAACAAGTAGGAAAAGACATAGAATATGAGATACAAAACAATGGGCTCAAATCCATACAATAATGAGCGAATAGATATGTGAACACTATGAGCTTTGCAAGTCCCAATTACCTCAGATCAAAATATCCAATATAATCAACTATCCTTTCTTATCGACTGATTATAGATAAAAGGATTTACTTAAGTAGAGGTTTCTCTACACGATTATCTCATAAAACTTTAAATTGATGGATTGTTTCAGTAGCGAAGTTATCACTCTCATTTTGAGCAACATTATTATCACCTTCTTCAAGTTGACTTCTACTGGAAGTTCGAAGAATATGATATCAGTAAGAATTGTTCACTTTATTACCTCTAACTAACTAAGCTCCCCTCCCCACCCACAAAAGACCAATATGGATATGGCTGAAACACTAGGCCATATATGTACATAGTTATAAGTATAAATCAGATATCTATTTTTTCTGACTTGACATTAAAAACTAACAAGGCAACAATTAGTGTTTCAGGTTTTTAATCAAATAATAGAAAATCTACAAAGGGAAATTAAGTTCGGCCGATGTTTTGATCTCATAAAATCTGTTAGTGTTAAATTTTTCCTAATTTCTCACTCGATTTTTTAGCTCTGAATGTGTACTTTGAAACATTTCACTTCGACGTTTAACCATCTGTTGTGACTGACTCCAAAATCCTCGGTAACTTTAGCTGATTACATACAGAAATAAGACAAGCTTTAGTTTCGGAATCTCCATCATTTAAACAACAATTTGTAAATGCTTCACGAAATCCGAATTGATCATCATTTTCCAAGTTTGCTAACCATTGTAATTCACCTGTAGTTAATGGTGCTATGTTTGAATCATCCATTGTCTATTGACAAGAAAATATAAATTCATAAATGTAGTCAGTAATAATCAAACTTATTGTTACATAGTGAGATTTATACACGAGACAAAGATTAACTTAAAATGTAAGCTTCATAAAAAAGTACAGACAGTGTAATATATGCACTATTTGTGCATTGAGCAGTTATATTTAACTATTCTCATGAACTCAGTTTGAATGGAACAATGTAGAACCCAATATCTGTAGTGGTTTAAGCTAACTGATTGATTATTGGAGCAGGTAATTGAAAATACAAATAACAATTTAATACGACCATTTTGTAGGTAGTTATTTTCCAATACACTTTCAACCCAACCTCCGGTACTTCAGAAGTCTGTGAAGCGAAATAATGTCCCATTCAGCATCACCCTTACATTTTTGGGGAAGCAGAATCATTAAAGATCACATTTATTGATGAAAAAAGCTCTACTGTTAATATTTACTTATTTAAGCACATATACGTTGATACGAAGGAGCACCAAAATATATATGCTTCACATAATAAATCATTGAATTTCCAGCGAAGCAATGTTGAAAGATAAAGTCATATGGTAGCCGAGCGTAAAGTATAGTTTTATATGCAATTCGATCCTTAAGGATCATGGGAACTACGTGCAACGTTGGTTTGAAATTAGAGTTTTCAAACTCGACTACCGTTGTTCTCCGTACCCACTAACCCGCTTTAAGGGCCGGACATTCACTTTTTCTCCGCTCACTTCTGAAAACACCCTCGCCACGAGAAGATAGTGAGTAGGATTTTCCTCAGTCAGTCAACATGATAACTTCGAGTGTTAATAGAGGTGTGAGGACGATTGTCACTTCCCAGTTGCCCACACCTTGGAAGAATATTTCTCCTTGAGGGACCTGAAAGTTAGTGGTGGTCTTAGCGACTTGTGAATGTGACTGGAGAGCCCAAGCGACAACTGCCTGAGGTCAGTCGCACACGGCTTCTTTACGAGTGGTTTTTTGTATTAGCCCAACACTTCAAAAGGCCTTGCTGTCGGATACGGAAATCCATTGAGTAAGGTTAGATGTGACATTTTTATCGTCAACCTTTTCTAACCCTTTCCTTCCACTGTGAAAAGGTAACATCACTGCAGGTGCTGGTTGTCCGAAGGAAACATCTTACTACTGTCACATCCATCTACAGTAAGCAGTAAGACTTCGCCCTCGAATTTCAAGTTTCTGCTCCTACTCTTACTATTCTCCAACCGATCCGTCTTGCAGAATAGGACCTAAAAAAATGTGTTCCAGCCATTATATCTCGGCTGTGTTCACGATAGACAAGCCCAACCACATCAAGGTAACAGGTACAGCTAGGAGGAATCTTCTGGGATTGGCTATGTACACGCAGCCATATAAGAGCATTTTGAAAGAAGAAATGCACTCTCTCTACCCTCAGCCGCACTGGAGTATTTGGGGACCACTACAATCAAGTAGCTGACAGTATTGCTTTGCTTCAGTCAATACGATTCGATTGGAAAGTCATGGAAAGAAAGTATGATCATTGCTCCTAACCAAATAATAACTGATTGATATATCACTAAAGTTCACGCAAGTACAAAGCCAAGTTGTAATATCAGTAGCCTCTAAATGGTACGGCCGAGGGTGGGGAGAGTCAGCTCTCCCTCTCAAAATGCTCTCACATGGTCACGTATATGCAGCCATTTCCAGGGAAGTCCTACTCACTGCCTTCTCGTGGAACTACTGTTGTTTACGAAATTGAGAGGACGAAAAGCGAATGTACAGCGCTTTAATCGAGTTGAGGGACACGGAAAGTCCACCTAGGGGAGTTGGAAAACCCTGATTCCAAACCAATGGTGCACATGAACTCCAGTGCTCTGAGGGAACAAATGGCGTATGAACCAATTGTTGATCACCGGCTACCATGAGACTGAATTTCCTCACGTTGCTCCACTGCCTTGTGGATCAGACCTTTAGCTCTGGGTGTGACCCCCTGAGAAAACCACCTGTTTCGGTCTGGGCACCCGAGTAGTATTACAGCCCAAACACAAAACAAGTGACTTGTGTGGCTCATATGTATTTGGTGCCCCTTTGTATTAATATTTATGTGTTCAAATAAATAGTAAATAAATATCATTCTAACGTTCATGTATACAGAAAAACACTAACTCTTTTTATCAACAGAGGAAAGACGCTTAAAACTAGCATTACCGTCACTAAGAACACACAATTTGGCTGAATAGTTTTCTTCCCACTGACTAATATTATAAATCTAATTTTTTAATTTAAATTAAGATGGAATTAACAATCTAAGTGTGGAAATAAAAAAGAGTGCATAAAATATTTTTCATCTTACTTCTAAACATGAACTGACTGATTTGATGATGTCTTTGAATAATACATTTAAATCGGCCAAAATTCCACGGACTAGAGGTAATTCAGACTTTTGTTTTTGACAACCACAAGCGATGTGTATTAAACAAGGAAGGATATGTGGATCTAGAAAGTATGAACAGTGAGTAAATATTGGCAGGAAGATATTATTTTTTTCTAAATTTAGCTTTACTTTCCGGAGATTCGGTATCACATCGAAATTTTAGCCTAGACAATATTTCTCTGTAAGCATACAGTGGGGAAGTTTTAAAACCAGAAAAAAGTATGCCATGTATAAAAGGTAGAAAAAAGTACACTCGATATAACAGTTTATTTACCTGATAAGTAACAACACATAGCATCCATGCACGGTAAGCTAGCTATAACGACATCTATTATCGGGATAATTGCTCGTAAACTATTGTAGTACGTGACAAAGTGAATGAGGTGAGGTGCATCTTCACAAACTTTACGCAAGTAAACACCAAATGTAGGTAACACTTCTGAAAATGAATTGACTAAAAAAATGGACAGACAAAAAGCAGTTAGGATAGGACAACTAATAAAGAACGATAAGAAAAGATACAAGTTAAATGAATAAAAAATTCAACACTTGTCCTCTAGATTGTTTGTGATTGAAAGATATATTTCTGAAAGTCATAGGAATGAGGAAAATCCCTTTTTTATTTGAATATTAGGATGGAGATGTCAGAGGGGTTCGCATTGAAGTAACATACACATAGAAACAATAAAAATGAAATACTTATTTTGGTTATGGGATCATATACATAACACAATGTGATCCTAACAATTTGAAACTATGTTAAATAATCAAAGCAATAAATAAACATTCACAAATATTTAGACTTTGGAAAATGATAAAGAATTTTTTGGTTTGCACCAGTTGTAAATTTCATGTCACTTGTAAAAATTCCTTTAATATTTGTGACGACTGACAAAACCATGTGACTTAAAGTAAAATTCAGCGAGTTTTTCTGCACTTGTTCAGCCCTCTATAGCCCAATTTCAGATCAAGTTAAACAACTGACGTAAAACGTCGGCACATTTGCATTTCCCCAAAACACGACAAAAAACAAATCGATATACTTTTTGGAACAAAAATTCTTTCAGATTTCCTAAAGTAATACCACAAGCGTGGGTCAATCTGTGAATCAAGTTCTCTAACTTGGATTTAAGCAAAATGAACTATTCAAACTAATTATTTTGAAGGTGTCATCACCAAGTTTTGATTTGATAACTTCGAATAAATTGAGCACTGGGTAGATTGTTATAAATATATCTGTTGAGATATTTTTACTAAAGCTACCTTCGGTTAGAGGTTGTCAGATATTGCAGAAACTACTTTCACAACAAACTACATATAACTCCAAATACAATGTTGCTGTGTCCTGAATATGCACCTACTTAGTCTCTCCTAAAATACACTTGACATATTCATTTTTAATCTTTGTATAAAAAGTGTTCAGTCATGTTGTGTCCTGGGTAAAGACACATGCGTACTTGAATTAACATGACATATATTAACGTAAATGTTTTAAAAGTAGTATTAACTAATCACCTTAAATTATATTCATTGACTACATAATCATTCATATGTTTACTGAAATAGATATCAAGATTTCATTTCACTAACGCCAGTACCTTTTGGTTAGAACCAAGTAGTTTAAATAAAATATGAAGATAGTGCGATGAATTCATCATACGTCAGGTTCCTGTGTCGCCCAAAACTGTCTCAATTCATCATCCGCGATGGGATAATAAATGAATGAAAGAAAAACCTTAAATGTTGGCATTAAAAACTATCTCTACACAAGCTAAAAGAATTTACAACTTTTCTGTATGGATGTCTTTTAAAATGCACACAACAGAAATTTTCAAACCATGGTTGGAATCGATGTACACGTGTACAGATAGACAGAAGTAAAATTTCAGTTGGAAGTGGGAGGAAATTAAAATTAAAGACGAACAAATTACGGAAACAAACGTTTCAATGCAAATGAAGAGAATTTTATGGCTTGAAACCAGCTGATTATAATAGCACTAGGTAAAAAAATCATAGTTATCATAACAGAAAGTTTATAAATATATTCCTGTATACAACGACCAGGTTCAGAGTACTTGACAAATTTTATGAGTGCCAAAGGATTCTATTTTTTCTATCACGTTTCCTCTAATTCTTCGACATCACAGAGAAATAACACAAGAACATGTGATGTGAGCTCTTTAACAATATGGGATAACTACCGAATTTTAATTTTAACTAAGCTCTAAACACAAGTTGAGTATTGAGGCCTATTTTTAGTCGATCATCCAAACTACATACTACTACAGTTACAGTCCTAGATCATACGTCATAAAGAATTAATTTCTCAACACAATCCAGGAAGTAGTTTGTGGATATGAAGAACTGGAATATATACATGTATGCAAGTTAAGATTTACTTGAGGGTTGCACTTTGTCCACCAGAACATAGTCGTATCCTTTCATCTTTATGTCTGGGGAACTAGCCACGAAGTCCGCACACCTACAGTGCTAATTATAACAATCTACCATTCTGTTTAAGCTGAAAACTACATCAAAAGACAAAGCATTTCTATGATCTAAAATATTGAGGTGTGGAAATCTTTCTAGTATAAGATCCATGCAATCAGCGACTAAGCCATCAACTCAAACAACTTTCTGCACATTTATGTATTATGGCTATCATATAAATATAAGAGCAATGAGTCGATAGCAAAATAAAAAAACAGTCAAGTAACACAATCCAATGGACGAGTCTTTGATTTTCATAAATTATCTCTAATTATATCGTAGCCGACTGATATCTGACAATGTTAAGGTTTTGCACAGAACACCTAAAAATTTATTAGAATGAATTACCAACGAAAGAGGGTTACTCGTTATGCAGATATCACATGCCTATGAAACAACAAAACATTCAGTTTGATCATTATGCGATGTACACAGGTATATGTCAACATGTTAGATATAAATTTCAGAAGTGAACTATGTTAATGAGTTTTCGCCGAAATAAAAACACTAACCTAGGGCTGACACACCATTTACATTGGAAGAAAACGTATACAGTAAACGATGAATGATTTCTACTTCACTGCCATGAAGCCACCTGTACAAAAATAATTAAATGGGAAATCGAAAATTACTTCATTTGATGCTGCGCTATCAATATAGCAGTAAGTAGGCGATCGCCACACCAAACCTCAGCTAAACTATCATCTTCTCGTGTGATGACGTCAATGAGACGTACTGTACCTATTAGAAGTGTGGCTATCAGGAGTATAGACAATATATATCCATGAAAGAATACCATTGGTTGAACTTTTCAAAATAAAAAGCATATTTTCAAGGAACTCTGTCTGAAATCGAATTTCATTTAACCAAGGTGCTCTATATTCATCTGAAGCAAGCGCAGTTTGAATTAATCTTAGGAACATGTACACAGAGAACATAAACTAACCTGCATGTTTCAATTAGTGCAGGAGTATCTCTTGTGTAAAGCAAGTTTATTACACGAACACTACTCTAAGTCAAATGTTATAAATATAAAGACGTACATAAACGATTCACTTTCACTCATTTTACGGCAGGCAAGTGGATCATAAGCTAGATTTCCCAAAATTCCTACTATAATTTCCTTTACTAATAAGCTTTTGCACAAACGTGCTATCTCACCAGTAGCCTGGGGTTTTGAACACTCCCCAAAGCATTGTTAAATATTGAGACGATTTCGAACTCGTCGAGAAATTTCAGAACATCACGATTGACAGTTAGATCCCACAGACAACACAGTTGTTCCTCCAGTTCTGTTTCCAACTCCTTACGAGAGGGATCTTCCTCGGAACTTAGCCAAGTAGCGGAGGTCTCACTATTAACCTTTTCCAGAAATTTAATTAACAACGAAAAAAGCCAACGTCTGCTGTAAGTTGTGTCGCCTATCATATCAAGTTGTTTGGCATTTTCGTCATAATCTGGAGGTGGGGATGGATTACGTGTAGACATATTATCATTAAAAAGCAGTGAAATAAAACTGGGTTGGAATTTGACAATACAAATAAAAAAGTGTACGTAACGCCAAATGCGAAAATCGCTCCGGATAAGCTTCAAATGGTCGAGATGCCTTTAAATGGTTCAAATGGTTGAGGACGGAATAGAAGAAGCTTTCTGTTAACGGGCTTCCGTGTCTAGTAGCAGGGGATCACCAATACCTCCAGGCAAAAACCTAGGTATATGAACGATAATAGAGGAAAAAAGGATTTGGTAAATCATAATAATATGTTATCCTTAGTCCTTAAGAATAAGTCAAGTTTCCTCTTAAAGGACTCGTGGGAGGTCGCTTGGACTAGCTCAGTCGGCAGCGAATTCCAGCACTTGACAACTCTTACGGGGTAGAAGTTGTGTCTTCAGTCTGTTCTGCTATGTTTGGTCTCCAATATCTGGGTGTTACCTCTGAGGTTAGTGTTATGACTAAGCTTAAGAAGATGTTTAAGGGGATGACCAGAAGTGTTCGGGATACTGTAAGTCATAAAAATGTCACCTCTAAGATGCCTGTGCTCTAACGGGTAAAGGTTAAGTGGTTGGAGGCGCTCTTCATAAGGTTTGAATTTGAGTCCCCGAACTGATTTCGTGGCTCAACGTTGGATACGTTCCAGAGTGTCCTTATCCTTTTAGAGGGAAGGAGGAAATACTATGTCTCCGCACTCTAAATGGGGACGAATAAAACGGTTGAAGATTATGTGGAAGGTTCTACCGTCAAATTGGCCAAAAATGCGCTTCAATGTTAACAGTGCAAGGTTTGCTTGAAAGGCATTTTTGGCACAGTTCGCATACGATTTCAGGTCATAGGGTACCAACACTACTAAATCTTTTTCGACTTGGGAAACTTCTAGAGAGGAGTTACCTAAGGTATAGCTATAGTCTGCAACATGTCTCAGATGGACTACTTTGCACTTTGAAGTGTTGAAGGTAAGTCCGTTGTCGTCTGCCCAACTTTGAATTCGGGTCAGATCCTCCTGAAGATCCAAAGTTTCACATCATCAGCAAAAAGAAATAAGTCAGATGAAACTTGTTGAGGAAGATCGTTAATTTAAATCAAGAAGAGAAGAAGTCCTAGTATTGAGCCCCGGGGAGCCCCACTAGGACATTCCATAGCCTGAGAGAGAGTGAAGTTAAACCTGACCTTAAAGTGTCGGTTTTCTAGATATGAAGTCAGCCAATCAACCAAAGGGGGTTTTATACCCAGCTTCCAAATTTCCGGTAGTTTGCCTCTGCTTAGCGAGTGTGCAAACATCACGCTAAGTGGTGTCGCCAGGATTGAAGCTGCTCCCTCAATACAGTAGAATTAACCATATCTGGACCGGGAGAAGTGCCTTTTCTTAGGTGCTGCAGTTTACGGAGCACCAGGTCAGCACTCAGGTTCACTTCGAAAAGTCCTGTACAGGTGCAGGTGAAGCTTTCGTCAGTATAGTTGATGTGGGTCAGCTGGAATGTCTGAGAGTATTGTTCAGCCAAAACTTTAGCGGCATCAACGTCGTTATTGGTCGGGCCATTAGGACCTAGCAGTTGGGAAACCCCAGTTTTGCCTTGTCGAAGAGAAGCTGCGTAACTGAATAAGCTTTTCGGATTGGAGACGAATTTATCGATAAGCTTGATCTGGAACTGAAGCCTGTCTTCTCTTATTGCCTCTGAACATATGTTCCTTATGCGTTTATATTGCCTGTATGCGTCGTTATTGTCGGTTCGTTTATATTCGGCCCAACAGTGCCTTTTGCGGCTTAGCAAACGACGAGTGCGGTTCTTGATGATTGGAGGTTGTTTGAAACTTTTTGGGACCATTTGAGGAACTGAATGCTCAGTAGCACATAAGATTGTGTGCTGTAAAAAATCCCAATGAGCATCCACTTCAAGTTGAGGGTGAACATCCCAATCCACCTGTTGTAGATAGTCGTGTAAAGCTAACACATTCAACCGTTTGAAATTCCAGCGCCTGTCGCTAGTGGGATATCTTAGCTCCGTTTTGCTGACAAAGCTGAATTATAAGACGGCATGATCGCTTTTCCCCAGAGGAGCCAGGATTGAGAGGTCGTCAACTAGGAATTCTTCATTTAGGAATATCCAGTCTAAGCACGATGGCGTCTGACTGTTTCTCCAGCGGGTTGCCGACTTCACATTTTCGAATAATCCCAGGTCGCCGATAAGATTGAAGAACAGAGCATCAGTAGAGTTGGCACCACCAATGTATGCGTGTTCCATGAAGTTGATTCTAGGGAGATTGAAGTCCCCTAGAATCAGGATATGAGAGAATCCTTCCAGCAGACGTTTGTCATACTCGATGTCGGCAGTGGGCTTCCTGTAAATGACCCCAACTAGATACCTCGAGGTGGTAGACAATCTTACTGAGCACACTACTGGCTCATCAAGATTGAGAAACTCTTGGTTGTGAAGTTGGTGTGCATCCAGGCATGACCGTATGTATAGTGCTACCCCACCCCCCATTCCTGTTTTTCTGTCGTTGCGAAATAAAGACATCCCAGTTATTGCTAACTCCTGGTCCGTAAACTGAGACGTTACCCAAGTTTCGGATATTCCTATCAGATGGGCATCATTAGCTTTGCTAAGTTCACGTAGCTCATCCATTTTGTTTGGCAAGCTCGCGGCGTTCGTGTATAGGTGGTTTATGCTTTCAATTTGAAACGCGTGAGCTTCTTTTGTGTGTCTATATGAGCCGTGTGTGAGTGGACAGATAGACTGCCTATACAATGTTTATCCAGTTGGTAGTCTCTGTCCTTTACACTTTTTTTATGATCAAGACAGTCCATGAGTGGAATTGTCAGCTCCAGCTTTCGTTTGTACTTGATCCTGCTGTCGTGGAACCTATCCGGATGCATATGGATGCCAGTTGGCAACCGACGTTTATTGGCACGAAATGCTTCCAGAGTTGCAGCCGCCATGTGGGAGGAGGGGAAGGTTATCTTCAATAGCCGGAGCCTAGAGTCTCCGTCTCTCTTGGCTAGTCTCATTACGTGTTGAGTCAATATGTTCTTGATTTTTAAGGAATGCTTAATGAGTTTCCATTCCCGAATATCAGAGTTTGCTTCAGTTGGGTCCATATTTTCCAGCACACCTTGCACAATGATATTTCGTCCACGGAAAAACGCCTCGCGAGATTCCTTAGGGATGCTCCGGATGAGATTTCGTTCAGAAAACGATATGTCGGGCAGTATTCTTACGTTCCCATCGGATTTCAGTAAGTGACTGGCTAGCAGGACGTCCTTTATGTCGGAGGCATTCTTAAGTGTAACATGAAGCAGCCTCGGGTGGTTTTGGTGGTTAAAGTCCTTCCCCCGAGTGAGCCGTGTGACCGTCAAAGACTCTATTCTAGAGAGTTCAAGCCTTTTGTTCAATTCTCCCCAGAGTATCCTGTCATTTTTGTCCTGCATACTGAGAGAAAGGTCAGGGTTGTCAATAAGGTTCATGATTATGATAGAGTCGTTACGAACCGTAATTGATTTCCCAGGTTTTCCAGGGCGTCTAGATTTGGTATCTTGTTGTTTGGATGTCGAGGCGCGTTTTCGATTCCTGGGCCTTTGGACGGAGTAGAAGAAGCTTTCGCTTAACAGGCTTCCATATCTATCAGCAGTTAGTCATCACTACCTCGAGGCAGGAACCTGGCATATTATCAATAAAAGAGGAAAAAGAAAGAAAGAAATTGGTAAATCATACTAAAATACTATCCTTAGTACTTAAGAATATGTCAAGTTTTTTCTTAAAGGATTCCTGGGAAGTCGTTTGGACTAGTTCGGCCGGCAGCGAAGTCTAGCATTTAAGTGGAAAACAAACCTAAAATCTTCATCACAAACTTGTATACGCAGACCGATTTTTCGCGTTCGCTCCTTGTTGTCTCAGCACCGTCTCAGGTATTTGGCAATGTTCAATGAGCGGCAGTCTAGCCAGTTTGATAGTTATTTGTGGTTTTGTATATCTGGTAGCTTGAGTGGGTGTGTTTTTCCTTGGGTAGTACGGTTTCTGAATACTGAACATTTATCATATTACCAGGCAAGATTTTATTTTTTGTTGCAACGTGAAAGTAACAATATGATAACTCAAGTGATAAGAGAACACGACTGTTTCAAGAAAAATAAACAAGTCATCTAATTGGCAATGCAGTGAGCTTTAGAAGTCAGAACTTGATAAGGGGGAAAAAGATGATAATTAGCGAGTTAGAAGGTAGTTGGTGTGAGATTATAATGATTGGTGGTAAGTTATGAGACACGCATCAGACACAGATGATTCAAGTAGTAGGTAATAATTCGTGAATGAACATGTGTTTGTCAAGCCTCTCTCCGATGATATCTACTTTTAATGGTACGGTTAGGTGAAATGATTGATTTGCAACTTAGTTGTACTTATCGGCCAGAGTTATCCGACCTACTCGTTAAGATTGCAAGCCATCGGTGAACTGTGTGTCACTTTCTTCATCTTCTCAATCTATTATGAGTTCTGTTCTTTTAGACACTGTCTTAGTGCACTTCTTCGTGGAGAGAGGAACCTCGATACCTCTCTGCAGTTATCGTGATAGAGGTCTGTAACGGTAAATAAATCTCCAAAATCAATAGTTCTGTAGGTCTTCGATATTTGATGCTAACCATATTAGTTTTAATGGACTCACCTAGCTGAAGGCCCTCGGTCACGCATCCGCACCAGATCACGATTTCGTACGCTGTGCTCCACTTCTACAACCGCTAACCAGTTTCGATCAGTCGCTCCTAGATATATTGATAGCCTATCAAATATATCTTCGAACTTCCTCGCTTCTGACTTCTGATTTCACTGGGTTGGCATTTTTCCGTTATAGATGCTACTGATTAAGGTCTAGTCAGAGTCCAAATACTTGTGGCATCTTTAGGTCTATTATCTTATCTAATCTTCTTTTGAGGCTGTAATAGTTTGAACTCCAAAAACTCGTTGAGATAAAGAATTTCACTCATTGACAATTAGGTGGAAGTACCGGTGATCAGAAGACGATCAGTTGGTTCTGGGTATGGTGATCTTTATAAACCTTTCATGTTAATACTCTGCCTTACAAGATAAGTAAAGTAAGAGTATGCGAGATGTAAATTTGTTACTAGGTAATCAAAAAATTGTGAT